AGATAGACTTGCTCATGCCGAGCCTCACTTATTTGAAATGAAAATTCTAATTATTTATCAGCTGAGTATTTTTAACATACTTTGTTTTATGTACAAATGTAAAACTTACGTATTTCTTATTTCTTTTCATAATCTTTATACCCAAATAGATAAAAGTAAGTAGTACAGCCTAAGAAATGATGATTTAATTAAACAATCTTTTTTCTAACTAATTTCGGAAAGTCAAGAATTTCCTTTTGAGAAGCTTTTTTTTGGAACAGAATAAAACTTTGTATTTTCCTTTCAATGAAATTACCCTTTATTCAAAAAAAAAAAAAAAAAAAAAAAACTAAAAGAAATCGTTTTTTCTATCGATTTCAAAATATAAAAATGCGTCTTCTATTGAAGACACATTTTTATATTTTTAACACTTACATGATAAATGAATACTTAATACATATATTATATAACATAAAATAGTTTATTGAATTATCATCTTATGTTTTTATATTTCTTGATATTTTTCGCGATTCTATGCAACAAAACCAAATGAGTGTCCGCATTCTTAAGTTTGTCTTTTTATTGATATACTTTTATATATATATATATATATATATATATATATATATATATATATATATATATATATATATATATATATATATATATATATATATATATATATATATATATATATATATATATATATATATATGTATATATATATATATATACATTTTTTATATATTGTTAGAAGATAAACAATAAACCTTAAATAAAGAATTAAAAAAAACATATCCAAGTTTCTTCATCACTCAAAAATACAATTACTGAAAAGACGATCAAAGTCCGTTTGCAAATTATACCTAATTATACGCGAATATTCATGCAAAAACGTTGAATTGGTAAAAAAAATATCACGTTGCTTAGTTTGATCCTTTTTTAGCACATCATATCGAAAAAATTGTCAATAAAGAAAAAGGTTCGACATTGTACCTATCTTTTAGTATATATGAGCAGTTCATATGGTATAATGGTAGATAATGTTTTATACAACTAATGGTAAAAAAAATTAAGAAAAAATATCACGTTGCTTAGTTTGATCCTTTTTTAGCACATCATATCGAAAAAATTGTCAATAAAGAAAAAGCTTCAACATTGTACCTATCTTTTAGTATATGTGAGCAGTTCATATGGTATAATGGTAGATAATGTTGTATACAACTAATGGTAAAAAAAATAAAGAAAGTTGAACATTTTTCCATTAGTTTTGATTCTAATTCTGATATTAGCCATTTGGATTAACTGCATGCATTTATTGGTATGTTCAAAAGAATGGCTGTCCGATAGAAAGAATATTAGGGTTTTTACCCAACTCTGGTGATAAATCTGAAGATTTGACAGATGCTAGAGGCATTTTAACAAAGGTGTGTAGGGGTACAACCCCCTCATTCAAAAGGAGGTTTCCCCATTTTGGTTGGAAATCCCCCTGGATTTCCGACAAAAATGAGAAATTTCAATCCTTAAAAGAATAGTAAAAACTAAGTGTCGGGAGACCGCAAGTAATTTATAGTTCGATCTATAAATAATCTACAGTTTTACCTATAACAATTATAATTTTTTTTTCATAGTAATACTCGTCATGGTTAGTAATAGTTCATAGTAGTAGTAGTAGTAGTAGTAGTTCATAATAGTATTTATTTTTCAGTATTTATTATTGCAAACTACATATCACTTTTTAACAAACAAACAAAAATTTTTGACGTCCAAGTTTTGTTTATAATTATAAATAAAATAATTTTAATATTATAATAAGTTCTTATTAAAAAGCGCTCACGTATCAAACATCATAAAACAGATGAGCTATTTTTGATAAACTAAAATGTATTAATTTTAACAAAAGGTTTATGGGTAAATGCATTTTTACTGATAAAAGTTAGAAGTTATTTTTATTTTTATTTAAAAATTAAAAATATATATATATTTATCTGCTATTCTGGGGCCATCCGTAAATGATGTCAGTAAATATAGGGAGGAGGGGGTACCGAAAAGAATTGACAATGAGGTATTTGACAATAGGGTGACAATGGAAGGGGGTATTGAGACCAAAATGATGTCAATTTAAAAGAAAAAAAATTAAGTTTATACGAGCAGATTTAAAAGATTTTAAATTTACAATGTGGTATAGAAATAACATAGATGCTTTGTGTGGTAGTTGATGTAAGTTTCACAGAGACATGAAATAAATTAAAAGTTTACCAACTTTTTATTATTTTATTACGATTTGTTTAAAAATCTAATCGTTTACAGATATCATCAATTTGTGTATAAACTTAACAATCATTTTTTGATCCCTAGCGAATTGCAATATGTGCTTCAAAGCAAACTCATAAAGTCATGTGCCATTTTTTTAAATACAATTCTCATTATTATCAAAAACCACTTAAATCTAACCAGTTATTTCAATATATAAAATAACCAGTTATTTCAATAGACACACCTTGTACAGAAAGTTTAAACGCACTTATTTTTAAAAAGTTTAGGTATGTTTAAAGTGATACAAAAAAAAAACACGAGGCAGGGTCCAGGTTTTTTTTTTTTAACATTCTTAGCCAATTATTAATTAAGAAAAAAACACAACTTTGAATAAGAAAAACATAAAATCTCTTCTGAAATTAAACAACAAACTCAAGTAATCAAAAGATTACTTAGAAGCAAGTGCAATAAAGTTTAAACGCACCTACAACTTCTTTTAATCGAAATATATTAATACGGAATATGACCCCCGTTGTTTTTAATACATGCTTGTATTCGCCTTGGCATTGATTCGATTAAGTTTTCAATCATCTTGATTGGTATTTCAAGCCACAGTTTGGTCAGTTCTTGTTTGAGCATTTCATGACTAGATATTTGCTTTTTTGTTAGCTGATAATCCATCCAGCTCCATAAATTTTCAATCGGGTTTAAGTCTGGTGATCGTGCTGGCCAAGGCATAAGTTTATGACAGCTAACGCCTGAGCCTGATATACATCCTTATATGCCGACGGAACCACCGCCTTTTTGAATACGGCTTAGTAGCAATGAAACGAATTTAATTCTTTCTTGCATAATAACTTACTTATAGTCATTCGACTAACTGTTTTGTCTACCAGCGAACTATTGATTTTTGCACTTAAAGTTGATACTCCCGCTTTTGGGTTACGTCTGCTTAGCATGTAAAGCATGTTTTCATCGCGTGCTGTCAGTTTTTTCGGACGCCCAGTACGAGGATTGCCATTGACACTACCAGTTGATAAATAATTTTTTATTGTTGTACAAACGCTGGATTCAGAATTATTTAGGCGTCTGCCAATTTCTCTGTTGCTTATTTTCATTTTATGCATTCCTATGACTTACCATTTTGTTTTCGACAAAACAGCTTTTTTAACCATTAAAATATGATATTTTGACAAAGCTGTATCAGTTGAAAATTGATATATTTTAAATCAAATCGTATTTGTGGTTTTTATTCAAAATAAAATAAGAATAAGAATCCAAATGTAATATACTAAAGTTAACAGGCTGTTGAGTGATAAAAATGTAAAAGACTTCAATAAAAAATCTCTCAATAAACGAGTTTTACGCGTTTTCTTATCAAAGTGCGTTTATCTAAAGTTTTATCAACATTTTCTATCTCTAAAACATTAGATATACTGTTTTTTAAAATAAAGGCTTTTTTTTTCTCCAGCAGCATTTGCACTTTTTGCAAAAGCTTAAAATAGAGCTTCATGATGTTTAGTGGCTAGTTTTATTATTTTTTTCTTTTGCTTCGCTCTCCAAAAACACTCCATTGGGACACTCCATTGTTTATGGAATCAAAATGGCTATTTTCATTGTTCATAAGATTTCTTTGAAGTCAACAATTTTTTTTTTGTATAAATATATCATAGTTTCATCCATATTGTTTTAGTTTTTTCTTAACCTTCGAAATAAATATAACTAAAGAAAGCTTTACTTTATTTAAGTTTTCTTTGCGAATTTCTTCAGTATTTTTTATTTCATTAAGTAAATCTTTCCTGAAATAGGACTTGATAAATTAAATAAAATTTAATTTATCAACTCCTATTTCACGTATATTTGGATATACGTAAGATCTAATCCCGACAAGAAATTTTAATGTGGGTCATATATGGCATTTGCGTGCTAACCATATGCTTACCACTCTCCTTTATAAAATGGCGTTGATGCGCCCCATATGTGGCTATAATGTTTATCCCACTAAAACCACACTAAATAAGAATGAGCGCCACACTTCATTTGTGTCTCATAGTTTTATGTGGCCCACGTGTAGGAAACACATGTTAGCCATATATTTACAACTCTCTTTTATGGGATGGCGTTGGTGCGTTTTATATGCGGCTTTAATGTTTATCCCACAAAAAGCACACTAAATAAGAGATAATGCCACACTTCGATTGCATGAAGAAGTCATATTGATTCCTTTACTCTTTTATCTATCGAATTATAATATCCTATCAGTTTGCCCTATACGTAACCAAAAAAACACTATAAAAAACAAAATTATCATAAGAAGAATAAAAAATATACTAAATATACAAATATACCAATCGCAATATATTAACGAAATATTGAAAATTAAATTTAGATCAATCCAAAATTATAGGTTGATGTTTTAAAAACATTTTCGCTTGTCGGTTTATAAAATCTTAAAAGCGTACCAACAATTTTAAACTTTTTAAAGATCATTCAATTTATTTAAGAACCGGTGTAGTATGAGATTATTACTCCCGCGATTTTTTTACTCCCCAGTAAAAATCTCATATCAAATTTTTACTCCTCAGTAAAAATCTTATATTAAATTTTTACTCCCATTATGAGATTTTTACTCCCATAAAAATATTATGGGGCGAAACGTATTTTTATAACAAAATTACGTTGTATTTTGAGAATAGTTTTCAACGTTTTAATTACTGCAGTTTCTTGAAAAGCAATAAGAAACAAATCTTTTTATGCAGTGGCTTTCATAATTCTAAAAATTTAACTATGCATACTGAATTTGCCGACGTTTATAATTTTTTAAAAAGATGCATATATCCAAAGACAGCTATTAGTAAAGGCGATAAGTCGAACTTTCGAAGAAAAACAAAACCATTTGTAATTGAAGATAATGAGCTGTATCATCTGGGTAAATCTGGCGTTAAGGTAAACAGTTTATATAATTAGAGTTTTTTTATACTAGCGTGGTTTGCGATAAATACATACATTTTTATGTATGTGTTTAAGTATCACGTTTTACATAATAACGTAATACGTAATAATATCATGTTTTAATAATGTATCGTGTAATAATAATACGTAATATATAAAAATATCATGTTTTACATAATTAAATAATAAAAAGCTTGTACTTTACTAGTATAATACTGCCGTGATAAGGAAAAACACAGTAATTGTAAAAATATCCACTTTGCACTCTTTTAAAAATATATATATATTTTATAACAGCATCTTTAATTTTTTTTTAGAGAAAAGTTATTTGGTGCAAAGAAGAGCAACACCATATAATTAAGTCTGTTCATAATGGTAATGATATTTCTAATGAGGCTAACGCATTATCTGGCCACATAGGCATCAATTCAACAACAGAGCATATTAAAAAGAGATTTTTTTGGTTTGGTATGATAAAAGACATTACAGCCTATGTTTCAGAATGTGATAATTGTCAAAAAGCAAAAAAACAAGAAACTTCAAGTTAAACCATTGTTACAAAGCATATCGATTCCAAAAGGTAACATGAAACAGGTTGGGATTGATTTGACTCAACTCCCAGAAGTAAATGGATATAAATATCGGATAGTACTAGTTGATTATTTCAGCAAATGGGTAGAAGCTGAACCTCTTTTTGATAAAACAGCAAAATCTGTTGCAATATTCCAAAAATGTAGATACGGGTGTTTTGAAATACGGATTAACGATCAAGGCCGTGAATCTGTAAATGAGCTTTCAAATGAACTTCACAGAAAAACTGGGACTCGCCAACGCATGACGAGTGCATACCATCCACAAGCAAACGGTTTAGTAGAACGTCAAAATCAGTCAATAAAACGAACATTGGTAAAGGTGCTAGAAGATGCTGCTCTTGAATGGCCATTTATTATTGACGGTGTTTTATTTTCAATGCGAATTAGAAAACACAAATCAACTGGATTTTCACCCTTTGAATTACTTTATCAAAGAGAACCTGTTATGCCGATTGATATAGATCAGAACCTTATTGACTATAATGATAATGCTACTCTGATTGAAGACGATTCCAAAAACAAAAAATCAATTTTTGAAACATTCAATAAAATGAATAAAATGAAGAAGTGTATTTTCGATGAAGCTTACGAAAACATTTAAAAGTCACAAGGCAAAAACGCGACTATGACAAAAGAGTTAACCCAAAGAGTAGTATTGCTATAGGAACAAAAGTTTTATTGCGAAATCATAAACGTGATGACAGAAAAGGTGGAAAGCTTATTAAGCCATGGATAGGACCATACACGGTAACTAATATTTCAAGTACTAATAACTGTAGTTTAAAAAATGAAAAAAATGGCCGTAGGAAACATAAACCTAACTCTTTGTCCTCAGGGACTCCATAGAATTAAAGAAGATGGAAACTGCTTTTTTAGAGCAGTTTCTTTTATCATAACAGGAAGTGAGGATGAGCATAAGCAAATTAGAGACAAGGTTGTTAACCATATGTGTAACCAAATACATGATGAAATGACTGAATATTTGAGTATCCCAATTCAAACGCATATTTGTAAAACTAGGATGCTTGAAGATGCGACATGGGCAACTGATGCGGAGATAATTGGATGTGCTTCATTTATGGAAGTAGATATTCAAGTATACAGCAAATATGCAGAGAAAACAAAATGGATGATCTACCCATGCAGTTTACGGCTTAATAAGTTAAGTGACTATTCTATATTTTTAGACAATTCAACTGGGTTCCACTTTGATGTTGTGATTAATAGTTGAAAATCTAGTCCATATACATTTGTATTTCTTTTACGAGTTTTAAATAATGCTGTTAAATTTCAATTATTGTATTTTCTTTTCTTGTACTATGTAAGTTTATATATTAAAAACAGCAATTTGTTTGAAAACGGAAGTAATATAGTTAGGCTGTCTAAATAAAAAAAAGATTTTAATAAAATTACGTGGTGCAAATTTAAAATTATTTTACATTACATATTGTCTTACAAATCGTTATCTGAAAATTGCCCCTCCCCTATTTTCAAACACAAAAAAATTTATTTCATTTCGCAATGGTGTTTGAATCTGCTGATACACCTTTCAAAAATAAATTTGAAAACTTTCTTTAACATTACCTTCATATAAACACATTTAAAAAAATCTATAAAGTGAAGTCCTTTTCTAAAAACCTCCCCACCTCCCTTCTCTCATCCTTTTTATCTCAAACCCCTCCTCCAACTATTTGGACGACGTCTTCTATTGATGACCCCTTACTACATGATCTGGATCGGCTCTTGTTTTTTCATTTAAGCACTACAATATTTAAAAATAATGTTCATATTAAACGGAATCGTTTTTTATTGCTATTTAAAAAACAACTGTCTTTCAAACATTAAAAATAAAAATTCAAAATACAACAAAGTCGCAAAACACATTTTGCCGCGTAATATTATGGGAGTAAAAATCTCATAGTGGGAGTAACAATTTAATATGAGATTTTTACTGGGGAGTAAAAATTTAATAAGCGGTTTTTACTGGGGAGTAAAAATTTAATATGAGATTTTTACTGGGGAGTAAAAAAAAAGCGGGAGTAATAATCTCATACTACACCGGGATTTTAAAGTAAATTAATTAAACTTGTATGAATGTACTACGGTAGTTAATCATCAAAAACTAACTTTACGTACCTTAATTAAACCATAAAATTAAAATATGCAAAATATTTTAGTTTTATGGTTGAAATTCTTGATTCTATCTTGTTAATCTTGCAACTTATTTGACTTTAGATAAATACTTAACAAACAAAAGCTCTAATATATATTTTTTTTAGTTTGAAACCAAGCATTTTTTTGGGGTACTTTTTTCTAGGGGATTTGTTTTTCGGGTAGATATTTCTCAAGGGATTATTTCAGGGAGATTTTTTCCAGGTAGGTTTTTTCTTAAAACAGATCTTTTTAGTTCAAAAAATTTAAATTAATGCAGAAAATATAATACGCCTCAATTAAAAAGTGTATTTGTTTGTTTACCTATATTTATTTTTAGTGACTCATTACTTTACAATTTATTTACGGTTGCGGAAATTTGCGCTATTTTAAAATATAATGTTGCTGAAGTATAAATTTGTATTCGTTAAGTATAACTCTGATTTAGCAATCAGAAAAAAGCTAATTTTACAAACAAGGGCTTTTTTTTTTAAGATGTTAAATTTCAGTTTTAACCGACAGAGCCCCAAATCTTCCAATTATCCGACAAAAACCGAAAGAATTTTGTAAATCTGGGGAAGGTGTCCACTCCACTCACACCCCCGTCGGTACGGCCTTGTATATAAGTAATATAATTTTAAATAATATTCTTTTAACAATATGCCGTTATATAATCTAATTCACGCATAAAATCACATAAAAGAAAAACATAGTTTAGTAATGATACAAATTTTATATAACAATAAGTAGAAGTCTTAACACACCTAGATTTTTGTTTTTTATTTTATATATTTACACCTTATATATTATTTATATAATATATAAGGTGTAAATATTACACCTAGATTTTTGTTTTTTATTTTATATATATTTACTCTAATCGGTCGAACATACTTACAAAGGTTATAAATTGAAAATTATCAAAACGGTAAGACACATGATATCATGGAATATTCTAGAGTTTACAATGCATTGCGATAGAGTTATTACAATTGGTTAAAATTTATAAAATGACCACATGACCACATGTGGGCCACATATACCTTTCTTGTTGGGATATACTTGCAACAGTTATGAGTAGAAAATTATCAAAACCGTAAGCCACATGATATAATGGAAAATTCTAGAGTTTACTATGCATTGCGATAGAATTATTACAATTGGTTAAAATTTAAAATTCAAAATAAGGCAAGATCGTGAGTTTTATATGTATGGCCCATATGATAGCCACATCAAATTTAGCACGTCTTTATTTAAAGATTATGCCACATTAAGTGAAATAGTTATGTGAACCGCATTATGTGTTCCACAAGTGGGCCACACTTATCTTCATCAAATACGTCATTCATCAACAGTAATATATTTTTGCACTTTTAATCCACACAAAAGCATTATGATCACATGTTGGCCACATATACCTTTCTTGTCGAGATCTTTTCATTGTTATCGTTTTTAAGAACCATAAATATAATAAAACTAATATATTAAAAACATTTTAAATTACATTACATATTTTTTTACTTTACGCTGTTTCAAATTTTATTTTGTTATGACTTTTAACAATTTTTACATTGTTACATCCTGTAATAACACATATTACTTAGTTAACTTTATATTACAGGAAATACAAAAGTTGTTCAATTAGGCTTTTTTAAACATGTTGTTTGAATAATAAATCGTTTTTTAAAACTGTCAATAAATATTTTAACAAACTTCTAAATAGTATATAATGACAAAAGCACGTTTTTTAAAACTATTTTTAATATTTATGATTTAAAAACTATATTAAAACAAGTTCTACAAGCAAAATAACTTAAATTTAAGTTTCCCGCCAATTTCATTTGTTTTGATATAAAGTACTTTTATTACATCAAAACAAATAAAACAAGGTTTTTATGAAATCATCACCATTTGTATATATATATATATATATATATATATATATATATATATATATATATATATATATATATATATATATATATATATATATATATATATATATATATATATATATATATATATATATATATATATTAGTGGAACTCTGTGGAACATTTTTTTAGCTGATATATTAACAAAAAAATACAATTATTTTCTCCTTTATTTTAGAGAAGTCTTTAAATTTAAACGAAAAAAACAGACTTTTTTTTTTTGTTTTTAGTCAATTTGAAATAGAGTTAAAAAATTATTTTAAAATAAATATACACTTTTATTTAAACTTCAAATTCTCTAAAATAATATTAAATTTTTTCAATTCTTTTAACTATAAAATACAAAAAAAAAGTTTTATAAAAAAACTATTTTTACTTTTGAAATAAAAAATCATTGTCATTTAAAATTACCTATATTTATAAAAAAGTTGCAAGGTTTTTTTTCCATTTTGTTGTTGTTTTGAGTCACTGTGCCACGCCTCAACAAAAACAATCTTTTTATTTTGGTACATAGCAAATGTTAAGTAATTTAAAAAAAGTCAAATATAGAAATTACCTGTTTCTATATTTGACTATATTTGACTATATTGTTGTTGTTTTGAGTCACTGTGCCATGTTTCAACAAAAACAATCTTTTTATTTTGGTACATAGCAAATATTAAGTAATTTAAAAAAAGTCAAATATAGAAATTACCTTTCATGGCAGAAAATCTGGCAGACATTTATGGTAAGCTGTATCCTATAAGAGATAAAAAATTATTTTTTCTAAAAAATAAAACTTTCATAATAACGTCTAAAGTAGTTTATTAACGGAAGTTTAAATTGATAAAAACGTGGTTTTTAGAATGTTTAAATTACCTAATTGATGAGTAATGATGTGTAATTTCAATACGTGCGGTTTCAAAAGATTTGAAACTTATACAATTAATACCTAAAGTATACAATTATTACCTAAAGTATTTTTTCCTTTAGATTTTGATGAAATTTAAAAGTTTAAAAATAATTAAAGCAGTTGATTCAAACAATTTTGCTTGCTTATCAAATAAAAATAAATTTTTAAAGTAAATTTAATTTTATTCGACAAATTAGAAAAAAAAAAAAAAAATTTAAACTAATTTTTAAGGTGAGTTTCCACTCATCCGTTTTTTCACGGGAACGGGAAAGGGAAGGGAAAAATAATCACGTGGGAATGCGTATTATAAGTTTTAATTTGTCCGAAGTAAAACTGCGCATACTCAAGTGATTATTTTTCCCTATCCTATCCCGTTCCCAAAGAAAAACGGATGAGTGAAAACTCAACTTTAAACCACACACAGATCTTTGGTTGATGACTAATGATTGTTAATCTTTAGCGATTAAGTCTATAATATCCGCAAACACGTAACTGTAACGTTAAGCACAGATAGCCATCTAGCAATATAAAAATATTTAAAACTATTTGCTTTCTACTTAACAGTTTCAAAAGTTACAAACAAAAAAATTTGTGGCAATTGTTTCTACTTTGTGTGCAATTTTCAATTTGAACAAGCTAGAGTGTGACGCAAATGAAAACATTAAAAATTTTCTTTATGTTAAATATCAAATTAGTTTCATTCTAACTCTAAATAGATCAACTAGAATAGACCTCCTCACAGTTCCGATAATTTAGTGCGCGCGAACATTTAACAGTACGTCATTGTTCTTTGTGCGCAGAATCGCATGAAAGAAAGTTAATACACAATTATATTATAAAAGCATTCTTGAAAGAAACAGTTGTTTACATGAGATTTCTTTACTTTTATTCATTTTACCGATTTTGAACTTTATTTTAACTATTTTAAGGTTAAATTTATATTATTTATATATTTATACTTTTTATATGTTTGTTTTAAAGGATATATATGAAAGAAATAAAATCTCTTAAAGAATACTCTTTATCTTTTGTATTTCACACATTTCGAGTGTGAAATGTGCATTGATAGCTGTGTTTGTGTGTATATATATATAATATATAAATAAATATAATATATATATACATATATATGTGTGTGTATATACATATATATGTGTGTGTAAGTGTGTGTATATATATATATATATATATATATATATATATATATATATATATATATATATATATATATATATATATATATATATATATATATATATATATATATATATATATATATATATATATATATAAATTACTATTTAAAAATCTTCTTTCCCGAAAGCTCAATTTTATTAATCAATATTAAAAACTTTTACACTCATCGTACAAATTTGTTTTTTCCTTGATTACAAATATTATATAACAAAAACATATAAAAAGTATAGATTTTAAACTTAAAATGGGTAAAATAAACTTATATTAAACTAAACCAATGTCTTTTTTTTTAAAAAAAAAAAATAAAATCTTAAATAACTTTTTCTTTCTTACTTTATACTTACAAAATTTATATGGGTAGAAACATGATTCCATAGCGTAAAGTTAGGTGACGTAATGTTTATTTTTTGGCGAATTATTATTTAAGATACGAAAAGCATAGTTAAATTATTTGTTTTATGCGAAGGTTTTATGTGAATATTTAATTATTGGTCATGCGTGGTTAAATGTTTTTATCAAATAAAAACTCAATACAAAATTTGTGAAATATGATTTTATACTATAATAGAAATGTGTTTATACAATTTATATTTAAATCATAATATTAGAATAAAATTTGTGATCATAATATCGAAGTGAATTGCGATTGTTGATAATAAAGAAAACTAAATCATAACATGTTTGCTGTAGTTAGTTTGTTCATTAGTCATTTTGTGAGGATGGCTAAGAAATTATTTCTAAAACCAAAATTTTGAGTGTAACATGCATAAAATATCTGGTAAAGTTATAACAAGCACATAATAGGTTGAAATAGGCTAAAATATAAACCATCACCATAGCTCTATAAAGCTATGGTGATGGTTTATATTTTAGCCTATTTCAACCTATTATAAATCAACCTATTATACACAGGGTATATACAAATGAAAATACCATAGTGAATTCTAAAAAAAATTGAATTCTGAAAATTGGTGAATTCTGGTGTATTTTTGCAGAACGTTTTTTTTCAAAAAGTATAAAAGTTTTTGTGTACAAAAAAAGAAAACTAAAGATTTTCAAATTAAAGAAAAATATGCATCATATTTTCGATAATATTTTTGTATATCTTTTTACGTAACATGGTTTGATCAATTTTGACAATGTTCCCCATCTAAATTTGCAGGAAAAAAGTTTATAAAAAGTATACAGTTTTATAGCAAGTTGAGTTAACAAATCTACTTTTAACGAAGCTAAAATTAAAAGTTTAAAAATAGCGTATGTATATATTTATGTTCTGTTGATGTTCATTTTCTATAAACAAGTATATGAATTCGAAAATAGAAATTTAGTTCCACAACGCCAATAACAATTGCGATAAAGTAATTTAAGATCATTTAAAGTTCAGTCAAGCAAGCACCTGATAATGGTCAACTTTTTGTTTAATATAGATTGCTGTTCCAAATACAAGTTGCAAATACGGTCCAATACTTTATGTCAAGCAAGGTTCAGATTTTAAACCAAACAAACTTACTATCTGTTGATCTTCTGCTTTGTTTTGAAGTTCTATGAGTTCAGATAGATATGTACATTTAGTTTACAAATTTTTTATGGCTTTTAAACTCAAACTAGTAACCAATAATGTGATTTAAAAGTTTTATTTTTACAAATTATATATATATATATATATATATATATATATATATATATATATATATATATATATATATATATATATATATATATATATATATATATATTATGTAAGTTTTAATTTATATGTAAGTCTGTACAAAGATGTAATTTTATATAGCCTTATATTTTGTTAAAAGTATATTTTAATTATATTTTAATATGTTTTAAGTTATATGTTTTTATTTTTGTTATTTTTTTTTTTTTTTTGTGATACAAAAGATGTTTTGTTCAAAGTAGATAAACCAACCATATAAAGGACAGATAAAACTGACCCTCATCTCAGGCTTAATGGCAATTTTTAAAAGGTTTTTTTGAAGTATGCAACCCTGATATCTTGACGGGCACAATCACATAGAAGTAATATAATATTAAATTAAATATTAAAATATAAAATTTGCATTTACTTTACTTTGCTCTAACATCAAGTAATAATAAAAGTCCTAAAACATATTCAATTAAAAATAGGTACTTAACTTGTAAATGAATCAAATTAAATTAAAAAATTTTATTTTTGTTATTTAAGATAAGAGGGATAAAATAATATCAAACAAAGTTGCTTGGTAGGGTATACTGGAGTAATTTCATCCCCTACTTCTAAAAAATCCTTAAAAACTACTATATAAAATAAAAAACAAGAGAATAGTACAAGAATTTCTTTTATTTACATACTTAAGCAACTGTTGATACAAAATTTTAACAAAAAAACATTTAAATATTTTTTTATAAAACAAAATTAGGGTAATTTCTACCCGTTTACACAAAAAATTCGAACGCACATGAACGTTTTGTGTTAGCTGGGAGGTCATACGTAATGTTCAGATCGCAAGCTTTAGGGTTATCCACAAAATTAGTTTTTCTGCGGCATCACTCATTGCTGCTTTTTTCATATTCCTTTACCTAAAATGAAGACAATTTTTGGCTTGGTTTTAGCCTAATTTTCTTCAGTGAGCCTAGCAATGCCTTTATCTGAAGTAAGACTTTCACCTCTCTGCCTTTTTATGGCCTTTCCTCTCGTCTCCATTTGCCGCTTCCCTAGTTTTTCATAAAAAGGTGTGAGATTTGACCTATGACTAAAATTGTCTTATTTGGGTGAAATTATGAATAATTATATATCTAATACCATATACAGATATCAATACTACTTAATTAACATGTTGCTTAAGGATACTTACAAGCAAAGATTCAAAATTTAAAATTAAAAATTTTACCATCTCTGTACACATTAAATACATCTAAAAAATAAATGATAAAGTAAAGTCAATGAATATATATTTTAAAATGTATTTTGAATTACAAATATGGTACTTAGATTGAAGATGATTTTGGATTTCCAAAAAAAGTTTCGTAAACAAATTTCTACAGGAAGCATACACTTAGTGAGAAACAGAAAGTTGTCAATCAAAAACATGAACTAAAGGTGGTTCAACTTTTTTTAGTTTATTTGTATTGCTCCATATCTTTTTAGGGGGTGGAATCCCCCGGGAATACAATTACCCCAGTCTAGCCTACAATTGTTTGAAATAAATTTATATTATTTGCGTATTTAATTGTGACATTTTTTTCGCCAATGCATTGTTTAATTTGCTAAAGTTAGTACATTAACTATTTCTATTTGGTAACATGTTACTAATAACACAATTCAACTTTTTATCCTATCCCATAAATTTTTTTTTATTTATTAAAAGTAGCTTATAATTTTCAAAACTTTTAAATCATTCGCTAACATCTTTGAAAGAAATCTTTGTTGCAAGCCTTAAAATTTTAATAAGGTACAAAGTTGGCGCTTTTTTTCCCTTAAATGGAAGTAAGTTTTCAATTTTGGCAACCCGGTTAAAATTACTGATTCATGGTACAAGTTAACCAGGTATATTTATATATTAGTGGTATATTTATAATTTATATATAGTTTACAAAATAACACAATAATAATACAATAATAATACGAAATTTTTTTTTTTGGATTTTTATGGGGGTCACTTTCTTTTAAATTTGCAAATTTGGTATTTAAATCTTAGGGTGATATGATAAGAGTGCGTTTTCGAATCACTATTAACATCATCAAAACTATAGTTTTTCAGAAAAAATTCTCAGAAGAATTTTGTTCTTCCTTTTTATGTTTAAAAAGCTCTAATTTTTAATAGAATACACCCGGTCTGAAATTAAACGGCAGACCTAGGCAGCAAAACTT